GAGCCATGCAATCAGTCAAACATCCAACCATCCATGTACTCACACATCACTCAGCTATAGATAATTAGACAATCAAGTCATCAAAGGCCACCATCTTACATCAAAGAGCATAAGTACTTTACCATTAAACCATTCATTCAAACCTCGAAACAATACTCAATCGTTCAATCATTCATGTTCATCCATACATTCATACATTCGTTCATTCATTCATTCATTCATTCATTCATTCAATCATCCAATTATTCAGTCCTTCATTCATTCATTCATTTTCTCACATACCATTCATCAATATGGTGGAATATAAAAGCCACTTGTCAGTAAAACACACATGATCAGTGAATCAGTGGCAAAGGCATCAGAACAGAAGACGTTACAATAGCGAAGTTGTAAATGCTAGAGTACTACAGGACAGGATCAGTTCCTCATTTCTTTCCCTTGGTCTATGACTCGCTACCCTTTAACCCTATTAGTGGCAGGCTCCTGGCTACCCCCTATTAGTGGCAGGGGGGGGGGGCTGTTTACGACCCCCCCTTGATATCTCGAGATCTAACGGGCCGATTTTCAAAATTCAAACATCGTTCGATTTCGCTCAACGTGATCTACATTTCTAAAAAAATAAAAATTTAAAAATGTCAATAGGGGGGGGGGTAGAGGGGGGTAAAAACGGGCAAATTGCAGATACATTTTAGACTGTTTATCACGGCCAGGTTTCTGAACCAATCTTAACGCAATTTTTGCCGATCGATAGAGAATGAACCAGGAATTCACATGGAAATTTGTAATTTGAAGCTTAAATGCTTTTCTTCTCTATCAGGGTGTGACTCCTGATTATCTCAGCAAGCGATGACCGAATCAGCATAGCGTAAAAGTGCTTGAAGAAAGTGCGAGACGTGCGAAAAGACGAAAGTGAAAGTTTATCGATGATTAGGTACCTCATAAATGACCAAGTCAGCAGGATTGCGTGCACCTCGCCAGCAAAGATTTCCTATTCTTTTTCCTGCTAACTCTATATGCACTTTTCTAGTAATTGTTCAATGATAGCTTACATTTCCTGCTATAGGAAAGTCGCTTATGACTCACCATCCACTAAGTAGTTACATATGTAGCACAATGCCCTCTAAGCTAGCGTCTAACTTATGACAAATGACAAGGTCTGACCACGCATTCAGGAGCGCGTTATGTAACGGCCCGAGTCGTTTGATTTCACCAAGAGGAGTACTGAAGAGCATGCATGGAGTACATGCTCATGTATTCATAGGACAAATACCGGCATGTATAGGAGTACTGAAGAGCATGCGCTCTTATGGGAGGGATGATATGATAAAGGGCAATATGCAATGAAGTAACTGGGATCATTCGCAGGACCTTGAGCTAAATCCGATGCTAAACTTGGAACCGTATCAGTCAAGTGTGTCGGAAACATTATAACATTCAACTCACATAAGAAGCAGGATGTCTAAGTCACATAATCCATTTGCATCTTTCTACGACACCAGAACCAGAAGGTTGGGTGGTTTGAAAGCTATTCACAAGATTTGACAAATCTATTCATAACGCCGAAGAGATGTAAATAAAATTATCTCTGACACCGTACAAATGTGACCATCTGACAGGCTATCACCAATGGCTGGGTGTATACCTAAGTTATTTGATCTTATCATTGTATTATATAGCGCGAACGTCACTGATACTACGGGCATAGATTACACAGGATTCTAGCGAGAAATTAGCAGGGTATTCGTAAACGGTCAGTGCGCAGGACGGTCAATCATTCAGATTCGACCAGTAATTGCCGATCATGTATCCAAGCGGTGTCCGTGATCAAATTTCTGCTGGAAGCTTACGGCGTTCCACGGGCACATGTCGGACACCGTCATTGCTTGACGGCTGAGGTGTTTGACACGTCTTAACCTCTCTAATGTCTAACGACCTGGCGTACATACGGCAAAACATCTGTTCAGGCAGATCAAAAGTTAGTGTGCCTTATGAAATCACGCATCTAAGCTTATTTCCCATCTATGTTAGATTCACTAAAATCAAAGTAGATGTATTTCTGCGGTCAATAACCCAACCTCAAAGCTGGTGCGCAGTTTGCAATTGGTAAAATCCAAGTGGAACATCGCGGAAAGATTACAGCTCTGAGGTGAACGGCTGTTATTCTCCGCCAAGTTCAGCACATCATTGATCCAGCCTACGCATGCATGTACATTGTCGTACACTGATGCTGGAATTGGACAGGCGCTGCGATGAAGCGGGGTTCGTTTTACCAAAGGATGGGATTATTAGCAAGTCTTATAACGTGATGACTGGAACAAAAACGTTCAAGCCTGCTGTAGTGGTGCAGCCGGGAAACGTTTATTTAGCAGTTTAAACTAGACTGTTCACTTGTGTTTAAATGAGTCGCAGTGGCTTCTTTTAACCAGAGCGTTAATTAATGTCAAACGTTCCTCAACATTTTACTGACAGCTCCACTTGGAATGTGTTCAATACAAAGAGCGCGGTTGGGCGAGTTGGGGGATGGAAGGGGATGGGAGTTCCGGTGTCAGTTATCGACCGATCTCGGCCCCAGCCTCAGAGGCTGACAGTCAATGCGGCTAACCACGGCTCATCGCGGCGAGCTATCTGTCAACAGTTCTGACTTCAGCGAGCTCTCTCTACACAATCCACAGTTCTGAGTTCTGACTGCAGTTCACTCTCTGTCCACAGCTCACAGTTGTGACCAAAGCGAGCTCTGTGTCCACAGTCCACAGTTCTCCGCAGCTCACGGCACCCATTTCCGGAGCAGACACCCTCCGCGGCGACCTCGACCGGACGTCTCTCGCCCTCCTTCGCCGAGTTTGGACAGCAACTTTGGGCGCTGAGAGCGGCCGCCGCCAGAGTTCTCCCCGACTTTTGGACCGGCGGCGCCGACTCTCCTCCCCTCCCCACACTTCAGCTCAACAGTGCGGGGCTTCTCACACTGACCACAGGGCGGTCATTGACCAGTCCAGTGACAGGAAAGCTTGCCCCTCCTGCAAATGAACCGGGCCATGTAGGAACTTTGTTTCCTGATGTAGGCAGCAATTACGTACAGTTATTTGCAACATCTGGCCGCGTAGACAAACAGGCCGGTGAACAACCCCACAATGAGTCAATATTCCTGCAATAGCTCGGAGTTTCGCTGAAAGGATATACTAATCAGCGCAAAGACCGCAAATTTTATATATCGCACCGATTTTTTTTTTGCGTTTTTGATGGAATTTTGCCTCCGTTTATATTATGTCATTTCTGGTTGTTTTGTAATGTCGTCCGGTTTACGTCCAGTACGTGTCTGTGAGACTGCCAAGAGCAGCGGTTACGTATCGGAGACGTTCTACTGATGGGCACTGTTTGATCTTTATGGGATATTCGACCAGTGAACCGGGTTTATGGGTGGTACACCAGGGACACTTTGGTACTGAACGGCAGCTACTAAAAACTTCAATGAGAGGAGTTCGTATTGGATTATTTTACTTTAGATTCAACCCTTTGAGGGCCGAATTACACCCCCACAGCACAGCTGGGCTTATGTCCCGTCCATGTTCTTCTGTCAGCTACTGCATGTTAACACAATTATTTACCTCGTATAAAAGAAAGTCAGCCACCACTATATTGCTTTTACACCAATGCACGTGTGTTGGGAAAACCAGCACGGTGTTCACTCATTTGACGGGCGTGTTAACAGGATCAGAGTCTGTTTCGACACACGCGGTTGACTACCAATATCCACTTATTGTGCCTGTGTTTTAGCTGGCGATTATAACCTGGTAAACTGCCGCAATTAGAGGCTACAAAAATCCTTGGCTGTTCAATAATAACTGCCGTTTGGCAGCTGTAGCATTTTGAGAGCAATTATCGGAAGCGAGTCCATACCGAAAATACCAGCTGGCACGCGGCCCACGCACTGTCTAAAGGCATAAATGTCGCTGGCTGACAGGGTAGCACTCGTTCGACTGGACGGGAGACGTTTTATGCGCTATCGCCCTGCCGACTGGTGTCACTCCAAAGGTCAATATTCACCCCAGGTCAGACCCACGGTCAGGGCAGCTGCTGTTCGTGACTTGGCAACGGCTTTGCAACATGTATTTGTCGTTGTTACATATGTTTCCAGAGTTTTTCATGATGGGAATGCTTTTGTATCAACTCGCATCCATGAAATGGCTGGATGGCCAAGGATGCCTCCGGAGCGGAACGTTAGCATCTGCTGAAAAGACATATGAATGAATACGCGAGGAAGCAAGTTAAAGAAAAGGGAGGGAAGAAACAAGAAGAATATAGGGAGATAGATTGAAGGAGAGAAACAGCGAGAGGGAGAGAGAGGGGGAGAGGAGGAAATATATACAGTAGAAGGGAAGAATGTAAGACTGCAGCAATGTCTCAGCAAGCTATTCCACACTTGGTAAATACATGTAGTTGGTAATGTGATCATCGAATGATCACCTTTCATGTGATTTCATGTGATCACCTTTTTGCTCACCTAAGTACGATAAATTCGTTCATTAGCAGGCACCGTAGAAACGTCATCAGTTCGCTATGATACGTGCACAATGAGTATATTATCGCAATAAAGAGGATCAGCTCAGCCATTAACGAAAATAAGTAAATACAGTTCTTCAAAAGGGGATCATATCTAATGGCTAGAAATTTTTGTTCATTTCTCCATGAAGCGTTTCGCAAATTTTGCTTTGCTTGCAATTTTCATTTCATTTCATTTCAATGGTTGAAATCCCACTGCTGTCTGCTTTGCATGCTAAACTAATTGCTACGCTCTCACTTTTCTTCCATTTTCACCCCTCCCTTCTCTCGCTCTACTATGCGCCCCCTCCCCCTCCCACGGTCCTCCGCCCCCGTCCGGTGACCGCGGCCGTTCGGCCCTCATCGTCGGTCCACGCCAACCCCTATCACCGGCTAACACCCTTCATTTCTGCAGCGCACCATTACCGACGGCCCGGGCCGTGCGCGCCGGCTGACCCACTGACCTTGGCCCGCCGCCGACGGTCACTGCGGCGCTCCGTCGGCACCGGCGCGGCGCTCCTCCGACCTCCGTCGGCGCCGTCACAGCCACGACTGTGGGCCGACGGCGGAGCGCGGCAGATGGAACGGCCCGCGGAGCCCAGCAGCTGAGAGCGGGGGATGGGACGGTCCCACGAACAGCTGAGCGGGGATGGGATGGTCCTCTGTCAGCTGAGCGGGGAGAAGGGACGGTTCTCTGTCTGCTGAGCGGGGGATGGGGTGGTTCTCTGTCTGCTGAGCGGGGGATGGGGTGGTTCTCTGTCTGCTGAGCGGGGGATGGGACGGCCCTCTATCAGCGGAGCGGGGGTGGGACGGTCCCACAAACAGCTGAGCGGGGAGTGGGACGGTACTACGGCTGCGGCGGTGGAATATGGGACGGTCCTGCGGCACAACGTCAGTGCAGAATATGGGACGGTCCTGTGGCAGATGAGGAGAGGCCAGAGGGAAGGGGATGGAAAATCTTCGTGCAGATAATTCAAATTTATAGAATTCAGCCTCGTTTGTGGAATCAGGCTGGAAAGCATGTAATGAAAGATGGGAGGACGGCATATAAATTACGAGTAGGTACTTCCGCGTCTCGGCTAGCTGGTAAGCGTGAGTTCAATGGAATTGGAGACTCATGAGCTCAGCATTTAAAGTGACCATCCCATCTTAACATTAGTTTTGAGTTGTGATAGCCAAAATGGGGTCCCTGGCTTGCAATTACCGGTTTGAGTACTCACAAGATCGATAAATGCCTCAAATCGAAAATACTCGTATCTAATTTCAAAGTTGCAGTACTTGGATTCAGAGGGGCTGATGCATTAGAATGCCCCCTCTGAATGTGTGACGTCAGCGCAGATCTAACGATTTCAAATATTCTACTAAAACGTTCGGTAGCACGTGGTGGTGTATGCTGCTTTGCGCGCAACAAGTGCCGCACTTTCAAATAAAGTTGCTATAGGAACAGCGGAAATCTCAAAAAGTAAACAAAAGTAAAAGTCTAATATCTTGAAAACCGGTGAATATCAGATGAAATTTAGTAGACATTCGTTTTCGCTCTTTCTGAACCGAGCGACATCACTTTCATGCCAATTCATTGACTATTTGTAGGTGGGAGAGGGTCCCTCTAAATTGCGCGGGTCAAGAGCATTGACCCGCGCCGGGCCATTGTTCCGAGATTCCGCGTCGGGCCGGGGGGGGGGGGGGCTGTCTGAACACCCACCCCCTTCTAACTCGGCTCCTGGGCCACGTAGTGACACGCGGTAAGCGGCAATCGAACGAACGTTCAAAATAGGGACGAAAACAATCGGTCATTTTTTGTGTCAGGTCAAAAGTCAGGTCACCAGAGGTCACCAAAGGTAAAATGTTGACTATTTCAACATTTTGGAAACTGCCGACGGCTATCTCGGGAACCGATAGAGCTACAGCGCCGCGGAAAAGCGCATTCGATAGCCCTTTTACAAACCTTTCTGAATAATGTTCTCAGATTTGACCTCCAGAGGGCAAAAACTCCAAAAATAGCCGTTTTTATGAAAAGCGTTTTTTCGGTAATAACTTTTGACTCAAAAGAGCCATGCCATTACTTTTGCCAGCATCGTGTTCCTCTCGTCGAGACGCGTCGAATGAACTATAATTTGGCCTTGAAAGGTCAACTTGAAAATTTGACTTTAGGTCAAGGTCATGACCTGACCGGAAAAGGTCATGTTGCCATATCAGTCAATCCGCAACGTCGAGCCGAACACATCTTAGGCGTTTTCAGCGCTCTAGCACGCCTCTATCAGAAGTTATTATCGAAAAACTGTTAGATTCTGTTCGTGACCTGAGATGACCTCGGGGACATAAGGAGGGGTCATAGTTGCCATTTTCTGGTTCAGTGTGTCAATTTTATCTACATCTCGATGTTTGAGAGTGTCTAGAATGGCGTTTGTGCAAAACAGACGCTTTTCAATTTTCTCCCATTGACTTATAATGGAGAGGCCGCAAAATTGACCTGACCTTAGGTCACCGATATCGAAATTCCGAGATATACATTTTATAGATATTGTTGCTCTTATCAATCGCTGCAAGTTTCAAGGCAATCGTTCAGTCGGTGTAGCTATGACGAGCATTTTTAATTTTTTTTTCTGAGGTGAGGTCACTTGGCGTGACCTGGTGAGTGGTGACCTGACCTAAGGCGACCTGGGTCTGAAATTTTCACAACATGTGCGGAAAAGATCAGCACGAACAGGTGTGCCAAAAACCACAGGGGGTGTTCAAACACCCCCCCCCCCCCCCCGTCGTCCGGCGCGGGTTAAAAAGAAAACGCTGTATTACAGTGGCCCAAACTTTGCACACGATCGCTATTCGCTAGGCGTACATTAGCTCTATCAATCCGGCCTGGTCGGGGGATAAGTCCCATCAACAGGGCTCGAAAAGGGTTTTTTCAAGCCCCTCCCCCCTCCTGAATGAGCAATTCAACAACCTTGGAGCAAAGCGGTAACAGCTCCGAAATATATCAACGAACTGAATTCGTATATTGCAGCTGTTTGTGTATGCTGTGAGTGTGTACCGAATGCCAGAATGTTTTGAAATGTGGTATTGTGAAGAATTGCGCAATTGGCATTTTGTGCCTGTGAATTATGTCTGCAATGCATGACTGTCCTAGTTCAGTCATGCAAGCTGATCCGGGATCCCAGATGGAGATTATTTTACTGATTCAGGTCAGTTATTGTAATTCATTTTAGCACCCTGAGACTGGTGTATTTTGAGCCAAATGGATGCCAGCATCATGATCAGCGCCCACGAATACATCATGCAGCACCCATCGGGTGTAAGGGACAGGGTTATCCGGGGTCAACAACGATCAACTGAAGTCCCAGGAGGTCAAGTTCAAGCGTAAATGATTTCGAACAAAAAGTACATCATTTGACGACCCTTGCCACGACAAGCTATTGACATCAATATCTTCATAATAATTTGCTTCGAAATTGTATACAAAAATAAGAACAAGAAGACATCCTTTCCGGGGTCACCTATCGACCTGACCTTTGAGGTCATCAGTTGATCCAAGACCTTCAACGGCAAGTAGCATTTTCGTCTGCACTTGGCATTGTTTGTTAATGCTGTAGAAACGCTTTTTGGACTTATACTTTCATTGCATAACAAATGAGCAGATGGATATATTCGAGCTGATAAGATGTTCCAAAATCCAAGCCGAGCTCATCCACTCTTATGATGAAAAACATCCACATTCGGTTAACCGTAAAATTGCGTTTCACCATAAAAAAGTGTTTTCTCCTTTCCGGTGTCGCTGTCAGTAACTCCTCTGGTCCGAGGTGTTCTGTTCTGTATTTTACGCAGCAGCCCACTCTACCATCAACTTACTAGTCGTGGTCAGCTCCCCCCCCCCCCGCCCCCCGTGACAGCCCATTTCTGCAGAGTGCCTCTCAGCATTTGGCAGTGCAGGCCGCCGCCGCTCCGAGCGCCATCTAACCCCTCCCGGCCAGCGTCAGCTGACGACAATCAGTTGATTGCCGCAGCAGAATCGTCTATGTTGATATGACCAAGGGCGAGGTTGGGACGACGGTGAAAACAGGGCGCCTGGGGCGATTTGGTCAAGGTTCGTGAAATTCACACGTGACGTTTGGCATATAGAAGGCCCTTAGAGCGGGAGAAGTTCCAAATGTCACGTGACTAATATGCCCTCCGGCGCCCTGTTTTCACCGGCGTCCCAAGGTTGACCGTGGAGTGACATAGAGGTAAGTGCAGTGAAGGTAGAGGGGTGCTAAAGCCATGGGAGAAAGGAGTCCTATGGCCAACCGCTGTGACCAAGGGGAGAAGGGGCCGAGGATGTCTACACAACATTGCATTATGCAAATTTGCAATGCTATTGATCAAATTTTCCCTGCTGCATTGTCTATGAACTTGTGCAAATTGTGCATGTCTGACGAGTGACGAGGGGGACCTACAGAACCCCTCGCGCAGTCTCTGCAATACATTCGAAATTACACGTATCGACACATTGTTTCACATTTGGTCTCAACAGGGAAAGGCTCGTAGCTACTAAAGGTCATCCGACATCCGGAAATGACCTCAGAGTGACGTTGTGATCGGTCGATTTTCATTAAAATATTTTCCTAGTACGCCAATCGTTTTCAAGAGCACAGTCTCAAAGAACGCTAGCATCGCGTTCTTGGTGTGGACGTTATGTGTAAGAGAAGAAATGTAAAATGTTATTGCAACGGCAAATATAAGCCTAATAGGACGTGTGCTAATGGCCTTTGCAGTATGCAATTACGCATGCCTTTCAATTTCTGTGAACTTGTGTGATGTAGTCTGAACTAGCTTTGAACTGAAACATGCAAAGTATAGGCCTGGTACCCGCAGGGTAGCAACATGCCTTCAGCCTACATTTATGGGTGTGCCTAAGCGCCAAAACTACAGTCCAGAAACGAGCTTGGATGACTTGTTGAGCAACAGCTAGAGCCTAAACGTTGATACGGCTAAATGCTGGTAGGCTTTTACCTAGACCTGGCTTTTAATGTCATCACTCATATGTGATCTCGATTCTCGAATAAAATGAAATGATATTTAACCCGCGCCCTGGTGGGGGGGCTATTTTTTGCCCCCCCTCCAGACTTTTCGATATATCTCCAGAACCGCTGCGCCGATCGTCACCAAACTTTCAGTATCCTCCCGGACATCAATTTTACACATTGTGACCAAAATTTTTTTTCCAAAGGCTATGATAGGTTGGCCGGAAATGACGTCAGAGTGACGTCATGTTCTGCCGTTTTCGACCCAAAAAAGGGTTTCGCGGGAAGAGCTGTCAGGCCTATAGCTTTGCAAATACAGAAAAACGATAAAGACATAAAAGCTGTAGAATTAACAGGGCTACAAAACTGCTATCTCGGATTATTGAAATTTTTGGATTTTGACCCCCCAAAATCAAAAAATAGATTTTTTGAATATAATAGCCGAAAAATCCAAAAAAAAAATTTGAATTTCGCAAAAACCGGAATATATGTGATAGACCTTACCGCCTTCTATCCACATACCAAATTTGAGATTGATACCTCTTTTTTTGGCGAAGTTATAACGAAAAAACGGTTCAAAATTGATGACGTCAAATTTTCAAACTTAATTTTTAGCAATTCTAGACCTCGTAGCGCAAAACAAAGACCACCATTAGACTCCCCGTGACGAGCTGCATCGAATCAATACCCATTTTATGCAAAACCATCAACTTTAAAATTTGACCTTTTTTGACCTGACCTTGACCTGACCTTCACCAGAAAGTGACCTAAGCCGTACCTGATAGTCTTATAACCAACACCATTGAGTTGGAAATGAAAAATTGGCCATAAAACATGCATCGCACAACCTTAGTACCTAACGTTAGGTTCATGTGAACCTGTGACCCTTGGTGACCTGACCTGTGACCTGACCTGGTAATGTCAGTGACCTCTTATAACAACATATGTACTAGGCAACTGACGCCATATCGCTGATTCTCGACAAAATGCGTTTTCTTCGGTGTTATAGCGCATTCCCTAGATGACCCATGAACGGTGAAACATTTCATCTTTGACCTGACCTGTGACGTCATCGGTGACCCCGAGGTCAATGAAATTTGGTTTCCCCCGACAAATTTGACAGGCCTTTCGAACGCCGTTTGAATTTCGCGGATCCGTCCAGTAGTTTCGGAGATACGAGGGGGGGCAAAAAATAGCCCCCCCACCAGGTCGCGTTATAAACAGACCCCACCAGGGCGCGGGTTAAGGAGGTTTAAAATGATCTCACGCATGTCAAGGTGTTTTTATTTTAGGCAAAATAAATCTACATATATGAAACAGTAATACTCACGTGAGAGCTTTGAACTCACGGAAATAGTTTAACTGTTTTAGATATTTATTTTGCCTAAAATAAAAGCACTTTGACATGCGTGAAATCATTTTAAACCTCCTTATATTAATCATAATCATGTCATTCATCCTCGCCCACATATAAATGGTATTTCATTGGACAGGTTCTTGAGGGCTATCAAACGTCGGAGCAGAATTTGAAAATCGGGTCAGTAGTTTCGGACATAGGAAGGAGGCTGAAGTCTCCCTCTCCGACACTCGCAAGTCGCAATGAATGGAATATACCCTGGGCCTGATAGACGCTACCCGTGCATGGATAATGAACAAAGTACCTACATCAAACGATCCATATAGTGAACATCGGCTGTCAACGACTCTATGTGCCTGATTTTTAAGGTGCAATGTGAGGAAGATTCCGCTTGTCAGTTGTCTTCCTGCTAGCTGTCAAATGTCAAGCTCATGCACCATGAGAAAGGAAGGAAATGGAGTATACTGAGGATCTGTTCACATGGGTCGATTGGCTGGACATTTTGACTGTCCAGTGTGATTATTGTGATACCTAAATGGAAGGAAAATAGGCGCGATAAAACACGGCTTACACTTCCTTTTACGGTTAATTTACATAGGAAAAAGTGTCGAGGATGAATCGATGGCGATTATGTTGCTGACAGGACAGATAAAGTGAATGTAACTTCCGAATTGTTTTCATTTGACCTAACATGTGAATTTCTACGTGCCAATCCAAAACACATGCCACTGAAACTATATCACACAGAAATATTGAGCGGAAAAACGGTGTAATTGAAAGTACCAAAAGGAACATTTTTTTGGTGTAAAATTACTCTGTTTTCTGGGTAAAAGAACACTTATATGTGTGTTTTGCTAGCTTCGGAGTGCTTCACTATTGTGTAGGAGAACCGCTTTCAGTGTAACTTTACCGCGGATCTCGCGTTACATTTACGCACAAATATGTGTTTTTGGTAAAAAGTACCAAAAGGAACACTCGCATGGTAATCGTACACAAACTCATGACGGTAAATTTACACAAATATGACGGTTATTATAACGATTTTTTCCGGTAAAGCTAATGTTGGGCCCGCAAAATTTGTAACGCAAGCGACACGCGGCGGGACGTTGTCGCCAGCCGCGAGCCTAGCTAAATGCAACGAAACATTGTGATGCTCAATGCCTACCCCATGCTGCAAACACGTTTGTTTGTTTGTCGTTTATTGTTAAGAATCGACATCACATCTGACGGAAATAAAAGTTAGATTAGCGTATATACCTTATCATGTATATAAGCTGATATTTCACAACGCATGGGCGCCGCTACAGGTCGCAGCCACCGCCCGTCTCCCGTCAACTGCCCGTAATTAATTAATAAATAAAAAATATATCATCTGTACGCACTACTTCACTGTGCCAAAATTATCGTTCATTTAATTAGCCATCGGCTCTCTGTTGCCTATCTGGCAAAATATTAGCATATCCTATACCTAATTAACCCTAGAAAAGCATGAAAGTGCATCCATTATTTTCATAACACGACAGCAGCTCAGTTGAAAAATTACAAGCCCACCTTAGCACTCCGACAAAGCTGGATAATTTCCAGCAGCTCCTCCAATGTCGCTCCGGTTCAGATTTCAGACTCGGTCTTGATTGCAGTTATCGGACGATGACCACAATGCAGTATTTCACTTATTATTCACTTAGTCACTCATTACTCAGCTTATTATCGAACTAGATAAACACCACAGCACTGTTTTATCTCACTGATCGCACAAGAATGGGCAAACCCACTCTGCGCACTGCAGCCACAACACTCCCCCGCCGGCCCCCGCGGTCCCCGGCGCACAACTGACAGATTGCGAAAATGGCGCCGCCGCCGTCAGCATATAGCTCAAAATTTCGCTAAATTTACACTGGTTGACGTAAACGAACGGTGCTCTGGATGTGTACCGCAATTACCAGTGCGACACAACACTCATTCGCGTATGGATACACTTGCTTTGCATGGAAACATATCAGTTAGGTATTTGAACATCTGTTATGCTGTTACATTATCCTGTTATGCGTAAAGATGCTTGTGTGGTGTAATAAAACTGCCGATGTTTGTTAGATAACCAATAAACGTCGCATAAAAACAAACTTATTCTTGATGCCTTTACTTATTATGGCGTTGTGCGACGGATACCTTGCTTATTTATCACGAAAATACTTAAACTAAAGATATTTTACTAAGTGAAGCAGAACTTTGAAGCTAATTGAACTATTTACGAGTATATTGAACTTGACATCGCTCAATATTTCTGTGTGACACAAATTACAAAGCATTGCTTTAGTCTTCCTATCATTACCTACCATACTTTCGAGACATATATATTCAACGTGCTAACTGCATATTGTCCAGAGGAACATGTTTATTACAAACTGAGAAAAGGCCGTTTTTTACCTCTAATGTGAAAACAGCCTTGAGAGGCTGAGATCTGGCTTATAACAAGCATAGTGTTCCTGTGCAGGTAGAACGGTGTTCGTCTGGAGCCAAAAATGGCGTGTCGTAAGATTCGACTGTCCATTAGACGTACACATGGTTTATCCATGAAGTACCGCTGTGATAAGAGTTCTTCCGAGTTTGTATTTGAAGAGCTAAAACTCTATACATTTATCTTTTTATGCAGGAGCAGCTATCCGAGGCATCTATTTTGGACGCATTCACAGTAAGCTGCGCCTGCAATGGATGGTTGCAGCTGAGCGTTGGTATTTGTTCTTTGCACTCAGCGGAAAAAAGTTGAAAAGTAATTAAACATGATTATATATTTATTCACATATTCATTGTTCCTGTAAAACAAGCTCAAATGGGACGCATGATCCAGCAATGGCGCCTTTGAGATACATCCACGTTGTTTACAGTGCCTCATCTCAGAACCAGAAGTCGTTCCTTATCACCCTTGACATGAGCACAAACGACCTCGTCTGTCAGTACACGTGTCCGCAATCAACAACAACGTATTTGCATAACTGCAACATCAGCATGAAAGGTTTTCGATAGCCAGATGACCAAGGCCCTAAATACACAGATGGTGATCTTATCAGCAGATATAAGGACTATCAACCACTCACATATTACCTGAAACAACAGATATGATCCAGGTTCAATGATGGCTGGATGGGCTCATAGAATTAGTCAGGTAACGATTGGGAAAGAGTAAGTGCTTCAATCACATTTTTTATGTTCATTGCGAAGATAGTTCCATGAGTGACATTGATCTGATATGTTGCGCGGCTAAATATCGGTCGCCAAGTTACAGTCGGCGGACGGCAATCATTGCAAGCGCAGCGCACTGAGCGCGGTGGTGCCGCAATTATCGTGCGTATCATCAGTCATATTCGCAACAGGTCTTAGCTCATCCAGGTCTTTACGGACTCACTAAAATATTGTTTGGCTTAATTGCAAAGTTCTGCACATCCTGAGCTTTTCATGCTTCAAGAAACAAGTGTCGCATTTTGCTGCTGGACTGCGGCTTTGACTGTTTCCATTGCCGTTTGCCTTCTTGGCTTTTTCAAATGGCACTGTAGCTATCATCTTGAATACTGTAGTCGGTCCTGTCATCATAGACCGCATCCACGGAATCATAGCTGACATCGGGGCTGCTGAAACCGTCGTCATATCCGCTGACATCGCTGTAACCGTCTTGAGTGCCGTAGCTATCATCGTATGTCTCATCTCGCCCAGCAAGAGCGCTCCTGCTGTACCGATCTCCGGCGCCGTAGCCGTCATCTCGTCTGTCGTAATCGTACTGATCGTCGAGTCGGTCACCGATAGAATACCTCGCGCTGCGCGGCTCGCTGCCGGTGTCGTCGTACGCCGCGTCTGGGACATCGTTACTCGAATCCGGCGCGTAGCTGTCCACCTGATCCACATAATCGTCAACTCGTCTGTCATCTTGAACGTCGGCACGATCATTTCGCGTATCATAACGATCATCATCGTAATAGCCGTCATCTTGGCGGTCAAACCTGCCGTCATCACGGCCATCGTCGTACAGATCATCTCCGCGGTCGTCGTAGAGGTCGTCCCCGCGGTCATCGTATCTGTCATCGCCACGATCATCGTAATCATCGCCTCTGTGATCAGCGTAGCCGTCATCGCCACGACTATCGTAACTATCATCACCACGATCATCGAAGACATCGTCTCCACGGTCGTCGTATTGATCATTGTAGGTATCGTCACTTCGGTCGTCGTAGTTTCCATTGCTTTGATCGTCGTATAAATCATCGTCCCTGCTATTATAATCGTCTTCACCTCTGTAATTATAAAGATCATCGGTTCTGTCATCGTAGTGATCATCTTGATCATCGTAGCTGTCATTACTTGTGTCGTAACCGTCATCATTGCGATCATCGTAGGCATCGTCACTTCGATAATCGTCTCCTTGATAATCATAGTTGTCATCACTTCGATCGTCATAGCCATCATCGCCGCGATCATCGTAGCTGTCATTACCATGATCATCATAGACATCATCGCTGCGATCGTCATAGATATCATCACTGCGATCATCGTAGATATCGTCTCCACGATCATCGTAGCTATCGCCGCCGCGATCATCGTAGGTATCGTCTCCGCGATCATCGTAGATATCGTCTCCGCGATCATCGTAACCATCATCACTGCCATCTTCGTAGACATCGTTTCCACGATCATCGTAGCCGTTGTCCTCGCGATCATCGTAGATGTCGCCTGCGCGATCATCGTAGGTATCGTCTCCGCGATCGTCATAGCCATCATCACTGCGATCATCGTAGATATCGTCTCCGCGATCATCGTATCCATCATCACTACGATCATCGTAGATATCATCTCCGCGATCATCGTAGTTATCGTCTCCTCGATCATCGTAGAAGTCGTCTGCTCGATCATCGTAGATATCGTCCCCGCGATCATCGTAGGTATCGTCTCCGAGATCGTCATAACCGTCATCAGTACGATCATCGTAGATATCGTCTCCACGATCATCATAGCTGTCGTCTCCGCGATCATCGTAGATATCGCCTCTGCTATCATCGTAGGTATCGTCTCCGTGATCATCATAACCATCATCACTGCGATCATCGTAGCTGTCGTCTCCGCGATCATCGTAGATATCGTCTCCGCGATCATCGTAGCTGTCGTCTCCGCGATCATCGTAGATATCGTATCCACGATCGTCATAACCATCATCAGAATGATCATCGTAGATATCGTCTCCGCTATCATCATAGCTGTCGTCTCCGCGATCATCGTAGATATCGCCTCTGCTATCGTCGTAGGTATCATCTCCGCGATCATCATAACCATCATCACTGCGATCATCGTAGATATCGTCTCCGCGATCATCGTAGCTGTCGTCTCCGCGATCATCGTAGGTATCGTCTCCGCGATCATCGTAGGTATCGTATCCGTGATCGTCATAACCATCATCAGAATGATCATCGTAGATATCGTCTCCGCTATCATCATAGCTGTCGTCTCCACGATCATCGTAGATATCGCCTGTGCTAGCATCGTAGGTATCGTCTCCGCGATCATCATAACCATCATCACTGCGATCATCGTAGATATCGTCTCCGCGATCATCGTAGCTGTCGTCTCCGCGATCATTGTAGCTGTCATCTCCGTGATCATCGTAGATATCATCTCCACGATCTTCGTACATATCGTCTCCGTGATCATCGTAGATGTCGTCACCACGATCATCGTAAATATCGTCTCCTTGATCATCGTATTGATTGTCGTCATAATAGCCTCGGCTTCGTCCTGCGAAGGCTCCGTCCAAATCATCATATCGTCCATCGTCGTCGTAGCCATCCTGTTCGACGTAATCGTCGTCTCGGCTGTCATAGCCGTCGTCGTTTGCGGGTAAGTCGAGGTCGGGGCGGCTCAGGACACCTGGCTCCGCCTCTCCTGTGTCACCAGCGGTGGCAAGTGCGGTGTCGGAGACAGTGTCGTCAATAGGTCGGTTGTCGCCCCTGCGGCGTCCGGCGGGTCCCCTTCCTCTGCGGTTAAAGCGACGAGGACCCACGGCGGTCGGAGACCCAAAACCATCATCGTAGTCGTCGTCACGGTTCGGGAACCTTCTGCCACGGCCCCCGAGCCTTCCTGCACCGCCTCTGAACCTCCTCCCACCGCCTCCAGCCCTTCCTCCGCTGCTTCTAGCCATTCCTCCGTTACCTCCAGCCATTCCTCCACGGCCGGTTAACCTTCTGCTGGGGCCTCCGATCCTTGCCCCTCGGATCCCCAGCCTGACACGGCGCCGGGGTTTGACGCCATCCACGTCGCCGTCCAGGCTGTCGGCGTTTGCTCCCTGTCCACCACCACTGAACCGGCCGGTACCTCGCGGACGCGCGCTGCGCACCCCACCCAGCCTCGTCCGGTGGTGTTCCAATGACCTGGAGAGCTCTATGGCGGCATCATCCGTGCTTTTCTTGCCGGCTTTGCCGCGACTACGGAAGGGGCTGCCCCTTCCTCTGTACGCGCGACCCCTGTACATGGAACCATCGTCGTCGCTGGGACGTTCACCGGTGCCATCTGCGCCCTTACCGATGGCGCGACCTCCAATGTCGTCGTCGTCGTCGCCTCTCCTGCCTGACTTGGAACGGTCGTTATCCTGGCCAGCGGAGTCGTCACCACTGCTGTCAGAGTTGGAGCTTTGACCCTTACGAGCACGCCTGTCGTCATCACCGACTCCGTTAATATCGTCATAGAGATCTTCGAAGAAGTCGTCGTCTCTCTCGTTGTAATCGTCTCCGCCTCGATCGTCATCTCCCCTTAGGTCATCATCTCCCCTTCCATCATCATCGCCCCTTCGGTCGTCGTCTCCCCTCCCATCGTCGTCTCCTCTTAGATCGTCGTCTCTTCTTATATTATCGTCTTCTCTCCCATCGTCATCTCCCGTTCGATCGTCGCCTCCCTTCCTGCCATCTCCCTGTCGATCATCGTCTCCTCCAACACGTTCGCGGCGCTGCGGCCGGGGCTTCCTCTGCCGTCGCCTGCTGGGAGTAACGTCACCAAGATCCGTGACGCTGCCGAGATCCTCTTCCGATGGCGCCAGGCTCTCGGGGAAAGGCTCGGACAGTTCATTGATGTTCTTCGATGACAGGGTATCCCTGGGAGGCGGCTGCCTCAGTCCGACGTCAATCATTTCCACCTCGGGGAGGACATCTTCCGGCAGCGTGAGCGCATTCTCCTCTTTGAAGCGGAGCTTGGCGGCCTTGTACTTGCCGGACGGCTTGCGGAAGATGTCACGCGCCTGCGCAGTGGCAACGAACAGCAGCAGTACTGCTACCTGAGGGAACACGGGAAACAATTATTAAAAACAGTCACACTTATCATATTACGCAATGGGCGTAGGATGGGGGTAGGGTGAGGAATCATGACCTTCCTAATCCTTGGCAACCTTCCCAATCCTTTGCAGCCTTGGCAATACCGTGGCGTTGGGCCTCGCGGTTCCCTTAACACACGAAAAAACGAGCGAGTGTGGCAAAAAAAAAACGCTCCCCTACCCGGACGAATGTCACTGAATATGGGAGATATCGTAGAAGCCAAATACCCACTCAGCGATTTCACTCCTAACCCAAACGAGAAATCGAAAGCTTTTCCCAGGTGACTGTCAGAGAAATCGACGCTTTTTGCTTGGGAAGTAAAAACAAATGGTCTGGCATCTCTCAATCATTTCTAGGACGATTCCCAAGCGTTCCTCAAGCGATCACCAGGGACATTCCCCGCGTGATCCTCAAGCCTTCAATGACAGCACGTGGTGAAGAGCAGGGTCCCGACCGGGATATCACAGAACTTCCCCAAGCGGCTGCTCGAAATATCCTGCGCCGTCCCCAGACCCAATATGATGCCACAGCACATTTAAAAGCACGACCCAAGAAACGGAGGAATCTCCCAGCGTCCTGACGTTTCTAAGAATCTTAAAAAGATGCCAGGAGAAAACCAGAGATTCCTTAGCCTCCACTGAAACCAACAGGTAGGTAACTGGGGAGACTCAGGATTTTCCAGTGCTCCCAAACCAGGAAGAGGAAAGCGCTAAAAAAATCCCAATATTTCCCTAGCTGATCCCCAGGCGAAATGTTGAATGGGAAGTAAGCAGGAGTTGGAAAAGACGCGAAAGTTATCAAACCGGGCATGGTCAAAGAAAATCAAATAAAACATTGGAAGTCATAGCTAGAGCGTATTAGACACTGAAGTACTTTACAATTATCATGTTTCTTTCAATAGAGCTCATCAGAATTCAGAACTTTCCCCAATTAGCTATTAACGTTTTCATTTTTGTCGCACATCTGAAAATGGTTGCTCGACCGAGCGAGCGCGACAAACAATTGAATATTCGCTGTCACATGTCACACATTGAACCAAATTTTGAATGGAGGGCCACCCAGGAAAACGTTCCCAACAGGTCGGAGGAAAGCAATAAACAGGAATCACACAAGTCAAAAAACTTCACCAACGCCACACCTGGTTTTCCTTCCTTGTTATTTATGACTCGCCCGTATAGGCCTTTTTTACAGCGTTTAGTAACGAGGCAGTGGCGGATCCAGGGGGGGGGGGGCAAAATGGGCATTTACCCCCCCCCCCCAAAACGGCATAATTTTAACATTACGCCTATGGACGATGCATGGAAAGAATCGATAAATTGTTATAGTTTGCCCCCACCCCCAAACTCAGAGCTGGATCCGCCTCTGTAACGAGGGAGGGGGGAGGAGGGTCCGATGCATTCCCAGCATCCTCCAGCCAATCCAAATCAACCCTTGACTGAGTTAGAGATTTGCGGAGGAAATGACCTGTCGTCCACCTCTGACAGCTTCGTAACATGTTACGAAGGCACCAACACTACTTCGTAAATGTTCAAATGGTTGCTAAATTCGAATTCAGCTCCAAAAACTAGCCTTGAAACATGTAAAACTCGAAAAAGTGAGCCGAGGTCACCAAAGGTCAATGACCTGACCTGACCTTCAGGTGACCTTGACACCCACCCTAATGCATGGAAGCTACATCAAATCACATGTTTGAACGTTTGAAACCACGAAAAGCTTGCAAACGCGCGGCTAATGCGAGCCGACATACGCCGAATCGCGATTCCGGCCAAACATGATCTCGGAAAAGAGGTCACAGGTCAAAGGTCATTTGGGTCAGGGTCATGAACTTTTTTAGGGTGGGTGTAAAATTGATCAATGCGAGGGTACTGAAAGTTTCGTCGCGATCGGCCGCTTTTTACGCCAGTTATTCGCGAAAAACCTTAGGAAGGTTACATCATCCCTCCCTGTGCCGGCGAGGGTTAACCCTCGCCGGCCGAGGGGGGGGGGGGGCGGGTGCCGCCCCCCATAGGGTTTTTTCGCGATAGCTCCGAACACGCTGGCGATAGAGAGCTGAAACTTGGAATACCTGACCTTTGATCCAAGCCGGATCTTTTGACACCAACCGCATTTTTGGGTCAGGTCAGGTCACTGACCTATGACGTCATAAGTGAACCTCTGCACGGTCTTCAGATGTCGCAACTTCGCAACGCCCTCACTGCCAGAGGAGATGTCACAGGGAAATGAAACTTGCAGGATCTAGTATCCATTATGAGTCCCGCAACTTGTATATCTCGGATTTTTCATAAAGGTCATATGAGGTCAGGTCATTTTCGTGACCTTACCATTATAAGTCAATGGGGAAAAATTCAAACTGCTATTCTGGCGCCGGGAACGATCTCCAACTATCTCAAGCACACAAAATCGTGATTTGATGCACTCCTTGCAAGGTTAGATGCGTCACTTTTGCAATGTTGACCTTGCGTGACGTCATTTATGACGTCATCAAGGTCAAATTAGTTTTTCGTCAATAACTCTTGATCAAATTGAGCTAGCGAGTCGGGAAAGGCACCAATGGACTCAGGAAGGCCTGCCGAATCGAATGATATGCGACATGACCTCTTTCGACCAACTTCGTGACCTGGGGGTGCTGACCTGACCTTGACCTGAGGTCAACACCCCAAGTTGACCTGACCCGGACAAAAAGTATATCATTCGACGCGCCTGAGCGAGGCGAACACGATGCTGCCAAAATCGGCGCTCTGCGGCCGTTTTTTCGAAGTTATTCACCAAAAACTGAACCGTACCCTGGGGCACTTGACCTGACCTCAGAGGTCACCGGTTGACCTAGTACCTTAAAATCGGGTACCAATATCTGCGTCTCGTAACGGCGCACACGCTCGTTTTTTCCGCGACGCGCTAGCTCCACCAGGGGCGAAACGGCGAGGGGGGGGGGGTCGTACCCGCCCCCCCCCCCCCTCGGCCGGCGCGGATGTAGAAAACCAATAGGTCCGGCGAGGGTTAACCCGCGCCCAGATGGGGTCTGCCGAGCAACGCGGTCTGATGGGGGGGGGGGGCCATTTTGGCCCCCCCCCCTCAGATCTCGAGAACCACGCAACATAGCGACAAGCGGTAAACGGTGTTGGATAGCCCCAGCGGGGAACTACCTTTTGACCCAATTTCATTGACCTCAGTCAAACCGATGACGTCACAGGTCAGGTCAAAGGTTGAATTTTCACCGTTTACAGGCATTTCAAGAAATGCGTTGTAAAATCGAGTAAAATGCATTTCATTGAAAATCATCGATGGAGAAATGTTCTTCAAACACATATTTTGCTCTTTGAGGTCACTGATACCAGGTCAGGTCACAGAGGTCAGGTCACTGGGGGGGTCACAATATGAAAGTGTCGTGTGATACATGTTTTATGGTTCATTTTACATGACAAATGCGATTATGTGGGTCAGACAGACTTTAGGGCCAGCTTAGGTCACGTTTTGGTCAAGGTCAGGTCAAGGTCAGGTCAAGGTCAGGTCAAATTAGGTCAAATTTCAAAGTTGATATTTTTGCATAAAATGGGTATCGATTCGATGCAGCTCGTCACGGGGAGTTCAATGGTGGTCTCCGTTTTGCGCTACGAGGTCTAGAATTGCTAAAAATTGAGTTCAAAAATTTGACGTCATCAATTTTTTACAGTTTTTCCGCTATAACTTGGCCAAAAAAAGAGGTATCGATCTAAAATTTGGTATGTATATCGAAGAGCGCAGGGACTATCACATATATTCCGGTTTTTTCGAAATTCGAAATTTTTTTGGAAATTTTTTGAGTTTTTCTAAAAAAATCAATTTTTTTGATTTTTGGGGGTCAAAATACCAAAATTTCGAAAATCCGAGATAGCAGTTTTGTAGCGCCGTCTTTCTTCTACACAACCACATAAAGAACTTTAAAATTGCTTGTTAACTGTAGAATTGGTGAGCGTTTCAAGATGTCATGTTTTTTGCTCATTTTTGCTCGAACATGACCTCAGTTTGACCTCAATAACTCATGACCTGAGGTGACCTGTGACTTGAAATTTTGTGTGAAGGTGTCAAATTGATGCCCGGTAAGGTACCCCGCTGCGCGCCGCCGTTTTCCTCGCTATTTAAGAAAAACCACAGGGGGGGGGGGCAAAATGGCCCCCCCCATCAGGGCGCGGGTTAAAGGTCTCCAGCAGGTTTTTTACAATAGCGTCTGATAGAGACATGCTAGAGCGGCGAAAACACGTCAGCTGTGTTCAGCTCGACGATACGGATCGACTGATATGCAACATCACCTTTTCCGGTTAGGTCATGAACTTGACCTGAGGTCAACTTTTCAAAATGACCCTTCAAGTTCAAATTATATCTCATTGACGAGTTTCGACGAGAAAATCACGATTCTGGCAAAAGTCAAATATTATGACACATGGCAGAGGGGCGTTAGAAGGGATATCGAATGCACTACTCCGCGGCGCTGTAGCTCTATTGGTTCCCGAGTTATGCACAGCAAAATGCTGAAATAGGCAAAATTTGACCTTTGATGACCTCTGGTGGCCTGACTTTTTACCTGACCTAAACAGTGATTGAACTATGTATTTCCTTCATTTTTTTGACACTCCTTCGCATGCCACTTACTGCATGTCACTACGTGGCCCAGAAGCCGAGTAAGACTGGGGGCGTGACCCCCCCCCCCCTCAGCACGACACGGAAAACTCAGACCACCAGCTCGGCGCGGGTCTAATTAAAGTGCTATAATAGTTTATTAGTTGAGCTTCCAGGTCGGGACAATGACCCGAACGTCGGGGAAATTTGGGGCTACTAGATCTTCTTCAAATCAGGCCTTTAGCAATCTTTAATTGATAATTTTGCATTTGTTTTGATTTGCATTCGTTTTGATCAAAGATGGTAGGTACATTCATGGATTCGTAATACCTCGGGTCAAGTCAGGTCAGGTCAAGGCTTCCTGCGCTATCCATATAGCGTGCTAACGACGACCATCAGTCTCGCTCCATGCTGCATAGGCACCAAAACTAGTTGTCAAATGTTCAAATCGATGCTAAATTCGAAATCAGCTCCTAAACTACCCTAAAAATTGTAAACTTAAAAAATTCAACCAATGTAATATAAGGTTTATGACCTTGACCCAATTTTTACATGACCCTCATACCCACCACAATACATGGGTTATTTATAATTTCAGGTGCAAGCATTTCTATTGACAAGAAGTATGAAAACACGCGGATAATGTGCGCTGAAACACTCGAATCACCCTTCCTGTCAGACATCGTCTCGAGAAACAGACTCACACAGTTCATAGTTCATTCGGGTCGTAATAATACGTTAAGGGTAGATGTACCTCGTATTTGTACGTATTTGTTTTCTCGGGGGTACAGAAAACTTCGGGGCTATATTCCTTTTTTATGTTCGCCAAAAAAAGAAAAGAAAGAGGAGTCCGTCCCAATTCGAACCTTCTTTAAGTGAAAGGGCTCACCGGATGCCAACACCCTTCGTTGATCTAATCTAAAAAAATAAATCGATGCGCCTGGTTATGCAAGACACGATGCTGTCTAAATTGTGACTCTGCGGTCATTTCTGGCGAAGCTATTTACCAAAAACCGAACCCCAACCAAGCCGGCACTTGACTTAGCCTCACAGATCACTAGTTAACCCAAGACCGTAAAATCATTAACCAAAAAAAAAAAAATGTGTTCAAGACCAAATCCAAAAGGAATTGCTTGATCCCCTGCAATTCATCCGCCATTCATTACCCACCGTCCACCAGTCCCCACGCACAGTCCCTCCTCTCATCTTCACTCGTTTCTCGCTCCTATCACCTCACGTCTATCTCTGCCACCCCTCCCCTCCCTCCTCCACCCCTCTCTCCCTCCCCTCCCCTCCCCTCCCGCTCCCTCTGCCCGTCAGTGACACTCACCGCTCTCATGGTGGTCATCGGAGTACAACTGACGCCGATGACACGTCCACCGTCCAACTTATATCATTTCCTGTACCGTCCCGGCTCGGCGCTGTTTCCTCTACACCGGGCCGTGGTCTCCGTCCCCTCACCGCGCCATATGTGCGATCTTTGTGTAATGTTGAGGAAAATAAATTGGCGAGCAGCATCACTGGAATCATATCGAACGTCTCTCAGTCGCGGCGCAGTTGGGCAGGTGGAACAAAGCTGTCGTGCCGTCTGTAGCGCTCAGGCCCCCAGCCGGCTGTATTGTTATTCGCTACAATCGAAGGCGATTGCGGATTCACCGGAAATGACCAGAGAGAAAAAACGAGACTTCTTTGCTTCGGTAACATATATGCATGAATCGACAAATAATATAAACAATGAGTGGTATCCTCTGTGCCCTATCAGCGGTAGGTTCATTTTACCTCGCCAGTATTGGCCATTCTGGATCTTTTGATTTACGAAGTTAATTCATACCTCCTACGTTCGCGTTTAACCCTAATTGAACAGTGTTGCAAACAAAAGGAGCTCGCTTCTTTTCCAGAGAAAAAGAGAGAGGGAGAAAGAGAGAGGAGACGAGAGAAAGAGAAATAGGGAGAGAGAGAGAGAGAGAGAGAGAGAGAGAGAGAGAGAGAGAGAGAGAGAGAGAGAGAGAGAGAGAGAGAATGAGAGAGAGAGGGAGGGAGGGAGGGAGGGAGAGAGAGAGAGAGAGAGAGAGAGAGAGAGAGAGAGAGAGAGAGAGAGAGAGAGAGAGAGAGAGAGAGAGAGAGAGAGAGAGAGAGAGAGAGAGAGAGAGAGAGAGAGAGAGAGAGAGAGAGAGAGAGAGAGAGAGAGAGCATTAAAAACAGGTTTTAGTGTCAGCGGATTACCCTGAATGAAATGGTCTCAACCAGCAGTAATGGTACATATGTTACAGAGAGTTTGAGAAATCCGTGAGTTTGCAAACTTCCTATTCAGTTTGCAAACTCCTTGACCCGTTAGTGAGCTTGCAAACTCCCTTGGGGGTGGTCCATGATGTTAAAACAAAGGCGGCTAGTTGTAACCCCTGTTTAACCATCGAACACTGACAAAAAGCTTACAGATCATATGCACACCATAAATATATCGCAATTTTGATACGCCCTCATTGCAAAGAAGTTTTTCTCAAAAAGCTCCGGGAGTGCGGAGCCGGAGCCGGAGCTGGAGCCGGGGCCGCCGGAGTCGGCACATTTTACCCGGAGCCGGAGCCGCAGCCGTGAAACAATATAGCCCGGAGCCGGAGCCGGAGCCGGAGCCGTCAAATAAACGGGCGACTCCGGCTCATTTCTTTTTTTAACCCGCGAGTTGCTGGGGGGGGGGGGCGTTAAACGCCCCCACTTTTTTCGCCGGGGCATAGCATAAAAACGGCGCGCCGCAGGCGCGCCAAATTTTGGCTACCTGTAGGGAATTGATTGAAGTTTAATGTGACAAAGTTTCAAAAGAATTGGTCGGAAAATTTTTGAGATATCGAGATTTTAGTGACGTCATGATTTCTGAGTTTTCGACCAAAAACGGCATATGTTCAAAAAATCATATAAAATCACAGAATAGACATACAGACATTCCGTAAACGCCATTAGACTGCCAATACCATGAACAATCAAATGGCTATCTTCGATTATTGATTATCGTTCCGGATTTTCCAAAATCTTGAACTGAATCTTGGCAATTTCTCGTGACTACTTCACGACCATGATACATGCATTTCTTAAATTGAACTTTTTTAGCCAAACACGTACACATATGATAAAATGAATGTCACCATCGTGTTCTACGCCCCAAATTACCCATAAAACATGTGCCACAGGCTGGGAATATCAGTTTTGATTTTCGGGGATATGTGCCTACCCGGTTGACCTGACCTTGACCCTGACCTATGCTTGACTGACCCCTACATGGAGCTGACACTCTTGTAGGCCTTATATGATGGATTGTGCACCGTTTTGACAGAGTTTATGACGAGAGGCGCCCATTGCGAAGTCCTGAAATCCATGCTACTGAAAGCCCGATTTCAGGTGTTTGACCTGACCTTGACCCGACCTGTGACCTCAAAATTCAACTTTAAAGTACTCATCTGACGCGTCTCGTCGCGTTCTTTCGTTTGCCGCCTCGTGCGTTTCGCTGCGCCTATTGGTTCTCGAGTTATCGGCTGGGGGCGTTTAACGCCCCCGCCCCCCCCCCCCCAGCAAACGGTGTGTGGCGAAATACCCCAGCAACTGCCGGGTTAAGAAGAAGAAAAAGAAAAAATAATTGACCTAGTACGGTTTGACAATACAAGGCAGTAAAACATGTGGTACGTCATGGGCCATCACGTGAATGAAAAAGGCTGAATGTGTACGTATTCCCAATGTCTCACAGTACGCAATCGACCTCCTGTCTGCTCCTCCCTCCCCACGTCTACTGCATCCCAGAGCCTGACGACCGGTCATCAGGTGACGGCATTGTTTTGAAGCCGGTGCAGCGGACTCGCTTTTCTAATCCAATCACCTTTTTTCTTCCACCTGTATTCAATTGATCACTACTAAGTTCACTACTAAGATCACTACTAAGGACGTACTAAGTTGGAGTCGGAACCGGAGCCGGAGCCACCGGAGCCGGACCATTTTACTCGGAGCCGGAGTCGGAGCCGGAGCCGGAGCCGGAGCCGTTTTTTATCCGGAGCCGGAGCCGATTTTTGTTATCCGGACTCCGGAGCCGGAGCCGGAGCCGGAGCCGTCTGAAATTTCCACGGCTCCGCATCCCTGGAAAGCTCAAACATACAAGAAGTAAGTAATAAGCTTCCTAGCCCTCAAATCCTGAGTACCTGCCACTTTTATATGGTTCATTTTAGTGATGTCAATTACGGAAAATCTTGATACCCATACCAAACCAAATACCAGCAATAACCATGGAAGAATACCGAAACCGAACCAATTTGGTAAACTCAGGAAAATTCCAACTTTTTACCAAATTCAGAGCCTCTTTTTCATAAGGGACCATTCACAATGCAAACAAAATACCGAATGCATTGGCCTTGAAATACTAAACACCATGTTGGTATCGGTTTGGTATCGAGTTCATTTTTTGTTGTTGTTGTTTTGTTCATAACTTCGCCAAAAACGGTCGCAGAGACACTATTTTGCATCATCGTGTTCTCCATGCCGAGACGCGTCAAATGATCTGCTTTTTGTTTAGGTGAAAACAACTTAACCTTCGCATATGTTCGCATATATTAAATATTATTACTATTATTATTATTTAATATTATTTACATATATTAAATATAAATGCATATTAAATATATTATATATATATTAAATATATATGTTCGCATATTAAATATATATGCGATATAAAAATCGCATATATTCGCATATAGGGGGGTATATAGCCTGATGCCTGCTGCACTGACTTTACCTGACTGCACCTGACTTTACCGCATATGTTACCACCCTGTCGCGTTTTTTTTCGTATAAATAAAAAACCGCGGCGCGTAGCGCTGCGCCGCTTGGGGTAGCTTTTGGTACATCAATTTTGGACAATGTATGAAATTTTTGACCCCAGGTCATGTCAGGTCAGGTCACTAGGTCAAGTTAACTGACCAAGCCTAAAAAGTTTGCAATCATGTCCAGCCTGCAATGTTTGTCAGAGAGGTTTCAAACTTGGTGGATTACATGATGTTATGGGTGCCTACAATTTGTATATCTCGGATTTTTTATATGCGTGACCTAAGGTCAGGTCAGTGGCGTGACCTTTCCATTATAAGTCAATGGAGAAAAACGAAAATGCCTCTAGATCCGTGTGTACGCTTAGGAACAGTCCAAATATTTCAGGATAGCAATGATTTGGACCACCCGTGACGACCAAGGTGTCGTTTTTGCTGATAGCCTCTTGAAAGGTCATCCGAGGTCATTTGAGGCTACAAACAGTTTTTTGCCAATAACTCTCGATTGGAAAGAGATAGAACGCTGGGGTTGGCCTCATTGTGTTTGTCTTGCCGAGACGCATCGACTGATATGCAACATGACCTTTTCCGGTCAGGTCATGACCTTGACCTGAGGTCAAATTTTGAAGTTGACCTTTCAAGGTCAAATTATAGTTCATTCGACGCGTCTCGGCGAGAGGAACACGATTCTGGCATTAGGAATGAACTAGCTTTTTTTTAGTCAAAAGTTATTGTCGAAAAACACTTTTCTTGAAAACAGCTATTTTTGGAGTTTTTGCCCTCTGGAGGCTAAACCGTTGACCTGAGGTCATTTTTGATGATGACCTTATCAAAAGAAGAGTTCAAAAGCTATCGATTGCTTTTCCCAGCGTTTTTCTAGCTATCATAGTTCCTGAGATAATGGCATGTTTTCTGAAAAAAATATAATGACAATTCGCAAATTTTGACCTTTGATGACCTCTGGTGACCCCAATATTGCTCTAAGATGAAAAATGACAGAAATACTTTCAAACGTACGCATCAAGAGCTATCGACTGCTTTTTACCGCGTCTTTCTAGCCCTCTTAGTTTTTGAGTTAGAGGTGGGTGGTAACATATGCCCCCCCCCCCACACACTAGGGCGAAGTTGGCGGAGACCGCCACTGGGGCGCGGGTTAAGGTGTTGACTTCACGTCAGGTCATATCGGGTCAAATCTTCCGGGGCGGGCCAAGGTCAGGTCAGAGCTTCTCAGGTCACGAAGCTGGCCGAAGGAGGTCATGTTGCATATAGATCTGGTAGGTCTTCCCGAGTCCATTGGCGGCTTTCCCTATTCGCTATATCAATTTGATAGAAAATTATTTACAAAAAACTCCTATGACCCTAGGACTTCTAGGTTCTGTAAGACTCATCTCCCTGTGAAAGCTTTTCTGGGTCTGAGGGCATTGCATTGCGACATTTTAGGACCGTACAGAGGTTCACTTATGACGTCATACGTAGGTCAGTGACCTGACTTGAACTGAAAATGTGGTTGCTGTCACAAAATTTGACTTGAAGCATAGCTCAGGTGTGCCTAATTTCAGCT